AGTAATAGTTACCATATTGTTTTACAAGCTGAGGAATCCACACCTTTTTAGTGTTGTTTTGAAACTCAACGGACGTTTCACATGAGCGTATTTCCTTTTGTTTGTAATGTTTGCAGTTTGAGTAAAATGATCAAATGAAAATAAAGCTGATACACTCCATATATTGGTAAAAACAAGCAAATAAAAAGGGGATAGTTTGTCAAATGCAAAAGTGAAAACATTTGTGGGCGCAATTTTCCCCCTGCAAGGTTATCTAAGTGCCTTCGATGTCTCCTCAGTTTGGTTTATTAGGGAAGTATCTAGCTTACCATGAGCAGTGAGACAATTACAAAGACAATTTCACGGGCAGGGTTTCTATAATCATCAATGCATGCTGGGAGCCCATATCAGACTAAGTTCCATTTGGACTGAAGAGAATTCATTTGTAGTTTATAACTCACACTGCAGCCATTAGCAACTGCACTCAATCAGAGATTCTGAAAAAGAGAGAGAGAGGGGGAAAAAGTGAGGATGAAAATGTGAAAACAACATGCAAATTAAAGCTTTTGAGCTCGAGTAAATGAGCGACTTAAATGATTTATCCACCGCGCATTAAGTGCTGCCTTTTAAGTATGCATTGTTGAGTCTCTGGGCCTGGCACAAAAAACAAATACTTATTAAATATTTCTTTCACAACAACAGCAGAGGGATAGATTGAATGCAGAAAGAATGCTACTTAATCCCACAATCTTAAACTTTACTGGAAGTCCTTACAAATCTGCATTAACTATGTCTCAACTGTTTTTTTAAGTGATGATAGAGTTCAGAGAGAAACCGGAGCCGGCCAACACCGAGGAGGCCTCTCACTGTAATCCCTATTATGTATGCTTACATCAGGCTGCAGTGTTGTTTTGATGAAAACATAACAAGTCATAATGAATGGAAATGAATGTATGTTTGTGGGATCAAAATAGCACATAATTACACTATTACCCCTGACGATACAGGTATGCCCCCTCCCCCCTTATCCAACACCGCAAACATCAAGGTCTCGCCAGCAAATATTTCCTTGAGGTTACTTTGTAAACAAATTAAATTCATTAAAGGTGGATGACTGGAGGTAAACACCAACATGCCCTGTGTGTAGCTCGCAGCCAACAATGAAATTCCCCGCTGAGATAAATTTAACACAATCCAGCATTATACGTTGGACCTAAAGCTCAGCAGATGATCTTATATTAAAGCTATATGATGCATAGCGCTGATTATTATCATTGCTTTTAAATTACGGTGTATTCTCCCTGTAAACCTGGAGTTTATTGTGATTGGAATATCATTGTGTTAGTGATGAATGAGTTTGTGTCACACCATGATAGACACAGCTATTAGGGCTAAAAGGAGATGGGACCCACACCCACAGGAGCCACAGCAATTAGTTTCAGCCAGATCAGAGGGTGCTGGCATAATGACCTGATTCTGGCAGCTTATTCTATTCCTGATCTCTAATCACGGCCGCCACTGGCATCTTTCTCTGCCTCTCTCTATTCCCCTCTCTCTCTCTCCTCTCCTGGCTCGGGTGTATGAATTAATGAAATAATAAAGACTAATGTGAATGTGGCGGGCCAAGTGACCACTCACACGTGGCTCTCTTGCTTTAGCGAGTACAATTACACAGTAAGTTTGATCGGCGGTGATAGACAAAACAGCAGGGGCTCATAAATATGGATGGAGAGTCTGAGAAAATAAATTAACAGGGCCTGGCCTCTCGGCTGCCCCACTTAGACTGTCAATTACGGACCTGACAGGAGCCTTGCGAAGGAGCCACACAAGGATGACACACACATATAAGCACACACGCACACATGCACAGCCATTAAACTGTGCATTTGAGACCATTCTGGAGCCATACAGCAGTCACCTGCTTCATTATCAGCAGACAGAGTTCATGCTTTATGACATGTATCAAGAGCTTACAGTTATTGAGTGGTGTCAGCTACTGCACAAAATCCAATGCAGGGATTGATTCAGGAGCAAAAATGACAGGATTTCTCATTTTCACATGACGTGAAAAAACCTGGAGCAGATTTTTGCAGGTTTTTAGGTGTGTGCGCACTGAGATTTTGTGGGAAGGGGGATGAAGAAAAAAAAAAAAACCCAGGCATGAAGACTCTTCCATTTTAAAGGTGGCAACGTGAAAAACGCTGCTCCTCTCTCAAGCAGGGTCACAGCTTTTACATGTTTTCTTGTCTCATTTTTAATGTGACAGGGAATGAAATTATGTATGCTGTGAAGATGAACACATTATAAGAGGGCAAAGAGTGGAAGGACAAACAGGCAGGAATTAAGGAGCCTTTTTGGCAGTGTCTGTGTGCACTTGTCTGCTGAATTCATGTTCTGTATGAGAGGGTCAGCCCTGCAGTTTTGATACAAGCAATAAGTCACAGTCTGACCCGAAAAGACTGGCTTAAAGCCAATTTACAGGGATTTGCAGAAAGAACTTGGATAGATACATAAATCCCAGTATCTCAATACAGTTTGATGCAGTGATGCAATTTAGTAGCTGTTGTTTACTTCATAGACCCATGCATTATTTGTGCACATATTGTTGACTTGCATTAGCATTTGTAATTTTCTCCATATGAAAAGGAGTGGGAGGGGTCATGGTTTGGGGGTGTGAAGAAGCAGGCTGGCAGCAGTATATTGGGAGGTATTGATTTTTCCTTAAAGACCCTGATGTTCCACAAATATCAGCTCTCATAATAATCTGAAAGCAATAACATTTCTCCTGCCAGCCTTCCCTTTTTTTCTCATATAGAGCCAGGGTGTCTTTGTAGATTATCCTCAGCCTGCTCTGATAGTCGAAGGCTGGCTGTATAGGGTGCAGCCCGTCCTAAGACATTGTTCCACTTCTAAAAGAAAATCAGAGCTCTTGTACACCTCAGGGGTCTGATTTGGATTCTACCAGCAAGCCCAGCTGAGGAAAAAAAACACCGCCCTCAGCGATTGCAAATAAGAAAATAATTTGTGTCTACGCTTTTGAATAATGAATCTCACAAGTTACCTTTGAGGATGTTGGATTCTGAATAAGCAGTCAGGTGCGTGAAGGAACCAGCCACCAGGGTATTTTACACTATATAGAATGAATGCATATGACTCTCAGCATCAAATAGATGGAAACTTTTAATTTTCTTTAGGATTCCTGTGAGGACATGAAAGTAAATTAGAAATATGAGTTGGAAACCTGTGTATTACGTACACATTTACAAGATGATGTGTGATTACAGAAGTTTGGACTTTTTGAAGTGGGGTTATGTGAGGTTCTTAAACTATCTCTGCCTACTCTGAGGTAATAGTCAGTATGAAACATCCTTGTTATGGTCTTTATAAAACATACAGTAAACATTGGTCAGTGCAGCTGTTGTACTACTTTTGACAGGGGAAAAGATGCCTCTCTTTCTCAACCTCATTCAGTCTGCCTTCAGAAGTCTCTAATTGGTAATTCTTCACTCCACTAGCTGAGGCTGTAGCTCAGGTTAATGGCCACTACAATTCTGCCTGGATGTAAACATGCATAGATGGCATATGTCATAACTGAGCTCAATATGCCAAGTTTCTTAAAGACCCAATCCGCTGAAAATTATATTTTTCTTGTTTTTTACTTGTTCATTTGGCATTTTTCTGATGCTACAGTACATATCACGAGAAAAATACGTGCAGAAATTGCATTTCTGAGAATTTCTGCATTCAAATCGTTGTGAATCTCCAGCAGACCTAAATGGCAGGTTAAGATTCAGTGAGATTTCCTATGTAACCAATCCAAGCTCCGCCCCCAGAGCCCTACTATGCAGGCCAGACTCAGAAAACAAGAGAGGACGATGGCAGAACAAGCATGTGAGTTAGCTGATTGCAATGCTCGTAAGAAAGCTAATTATGATATCAACTTTCATCATGTCCCTTAAGACATTAGTGTCCGAGAGCTGAACTTCTACTACACCGGCAATGTTAGGCTGCAAGCTAGCATGAAAAGGAGTGTGCAGAACAGTGCTGTCTCCGCCCACAACTCAGAGGTGAATTGCTAATGAGCTACTGGAGCTCTGCAGAAGAAAAGCCCTTGACAGAGGTAACACGATTTGGCCAAAAACTTCATAATCACAATCTAAAGATTCCTGATAACACTTTAAGTAGTAAAAAAAAACAACCAGAGTGGGACTTTAAGTTCTTTATTACCTCTTCATTAGTTGACTAGTCAGACTTAAAATCTCTGCTCAGATTCAAAGGGAATTAGCAGCTTTGGAAGATCTTTATTCCTAAGATGTTACAGGTGTACTCTACGGTGTGTTGTAGATCGAAGTTTGACGTGCTGGGTCAGAGGTTTCATCTTCTTTAATTGGAGACAGAAAACACAACATACGGTATCACAGTGGCGTCAGTCAATCAATCAGATATCACAGATGGCTTCTCAGAGAGGCACATTTTTCTCTCAGGTAGCATGTTGAACTAGTTCTGACGAATTTTCACATCCATAACTTTCCTTGTCTTTCCTCTATTGCTGCAGAAAACAGTAGCAGTAAGAGTAGCCAAAGTTTGGTGGTAAACAAACCTTTTAACGTGGACTTATGGGACATATCAGAGACAATAGATCAGAGCGGAGATAGGATGAGAGCAAAATAACGATTGCATCTCAATATAAGCTGCACAATAACAGAGAAAATATGAACCTGTCCTTCAAAGGAAAAGTGAACGATTTCCAAAGAATGAGGCAGGATAACAAATGTCAGCTGGTGAAACTTTGAACACTGGAAGTAATTTAACAGTTTCTAAGCAATTGCTCAGGCCAGATGAACTCATAACTTACTTTGATTCAAAACAACCACCTCAAATCAAAAGAAATTTGTGAAAATTGAAGCAGTTAAGCATTTAAAAAAAAAAAAAAATCTGTATGCCTTTTAATCTTTAAAACATATTGACCTGTTAATCTAGGTAGACTTGCTGATTTAAATTTAGACTGACATCTGATTTGCAGGATGATTCTGGGGGGTTGCATTAAAGGGATATTCCAGCATATTCCAGCCGAAATATCCCTTTAACACAACCCCCCAGAATCATCCTGCAAATAGGATGTCAGTCAAAATCTATACTGAAAGGATTGTCAATAAAGTTCCAATTTTTTTCAGTGATCCCAAATGGAAAAACACCCAATTAAGGCTCTTAATTTTACATTATAAATACTTTTTTTCAATCTTATCACTTCTATTTTTATGCTTTAAAATATTAGTTATTATCCAGATTTCAGTTATATGTTATACACTTTCTAAATTTGCCCAACAAGTTAGCAAACAAGATGACTGTCACTATCTGAGGAACCAAACTGTAACCAGGCAACTTCTTCCCCAGTTGGTGTTGGAGGCAGATTCAAACAAGTGCCTCACAGCGAGTGAAACGATTTCATTCCAGTTTCAGTGCTGTGTATGATCTGCAGACAGTTCAGTGTCGGTACAAGGTCTTTGTTGTCACTGTGGGGAGAGAGATCAGCGCCTGCCAATAGAAATGAAAGCATTAGAGATGGATTGAAAAGCATAAAACGCTCTGCCAATTCTCCGTGATCATTAACTCATTGACAATTTTGTCAGCAAATTATGCGTAGTCTGTGTCAGGTTTTTCCAGGCAATTTCCCTGCAAGCCATCACATCATCATCATTGTTTACTCGCCGTGTACGCTGTTAAAAAAACCCAGTTAAAACACACGGTGAAGGAAAAATCTTTAAGCTTTGGTTTGTCCATTACTGGGAACTGTCCATACCTTCATGTGCTATTCCCAGCCTGAATGGTATGTCTGCTAAAGGTCTTGGAAAGAGATTGTTGAAGTCCATATTGGATAGTGAAGACTATTAGTCTGGAAGACAGCGATGTTGACGATGTGCGGTATCGATTGTGCCACCTAGAATAAGTTGCCATAACGGGATCATATTGATCAGAATCATTGACGGTGTACAGTATGTTTCACTGCCCTGTGGACAAATTCAATCGTATTGATGAAAGCACATTGTGAGGATCAAGTGCATAGCTGCACCACACTCCATGTTAGAGGGATTGGAGAATGATACACAGCCGATTAATCAAATTAAGTTACTCCCACTGCAGTCTAGACTGCCTGCATACAAGTGGCTTTAGGAGACATGGAAAGAAATCACAGGAATATACTGTAAATCTACTGTATGTTCATGCTCTCGTGTGGAGGTTTACAGAATCTGGAATAAATCAACTCTACAGCGAATCTAAAAAATTTGAATATTCCTGCAGAAGCTCCACTGGTTGTTTGAACGTGTGCACAGATGGACAGATTTCAGTAGCTGTAACTAAAGGAAAGATTAGTGCTTAATCTCGTTGTAGGGGTTTCTTCTTTCACTCAGAATCATTCCAGGAAACAAGAGCAGATTTGAAATCCATCCAAATCTAATTAAAACGCTCAATACAAAGGACTGTGTGCTTTTTTGACAGTTTGATTGGAGGGATGAGAGGCACTGTGAGGGAGGGCCTATACTGTACCCATTTCACAGGAGGCTCCATGCCGTGTTGCTCTTTGGAGGGGGTGCCTTTTGTTGTTACTGGAGACAGATAGGCATTCCTGATAAATGTGAAAATGTGTCAAAACTCAGGAGGGAAGCCGGGGAAGTACCAGAGGTAAATTTGGCCTACTTGGGCATCATTACAGCTATTGTGTGACTGTCAGGCAGTTCACCCACATTGTGCTGTCTGTCTTTTTTTGCTGAGGTAGAATGTACATTTTTCTGCGGCGGCGCTCTGTTGCCATGCAGACTGCACCTTTTTAAAGTTATGAATTCACTCAAAGGTGTTGCTTTAAAGTTTCATTTGTTTTACTTTTTAAGAATCTGTTTGAAAAATAAAAGCACTCTCCGACATCTGAAACAAACAACACTGACCTGCCGACTCCTAAATAACTGTGTGCAAAGCCACAAGGCAATCCGAGAGAGCGGGTAGCTTCACACGGACAGGACTTCACATGCTGTCTGACCACAGGCAAAAAAAAAAAAAAAATCAATATTTCTTTACAGGCCTGGGAGACTCTGAGGGCTTGCTTAACACCCTAACAACATGCTTCAGAGCGGTGCCTGTCCCGTAAACCTATCGGATCTCTGCAATCTCCAACTCTGCCTGGCGACAGGGCCTCCTAGGCCCCCTGCTCGTACTTTACTGTCTGGCCCCTGCAGTCCCAGTCTGTGCAGCCCCCTGTCCCAGTCCCGGCAACCTCTCGCTCTCCAGCCTCTAAAGCAGCAACAGCAGTGCTGTTAGCATTGTTAATGGCTATTGTTATGAATGAGGACCTCTGCTCCTCTTTCTTCATTGGCAGGCCTGGGGCAGGCAGATGGATAGGCTGCTACTTCTTCTCTGCTATCAGGACGGCCCAGACGCCGGGGCCCAGGACTGGCGGAACAAAGTAGGAGGAATGATGCCCCAGTGGGGAGAAAAGGGCGAAAGGGACCATGGCAAAAGAGGAGGGTGAGGGGAAAGAAGGGATGAGGGAGGAGAGTCAAGGGAAAGAGGGTGACAGTGAGAGAAAAAGCAGAATAGGAGGGGGCAAGAGACAAGGGTGAAGGAGCAAGGGAGCAATAGAAGGGAGCAGGTCTCTCCTCCCCTGAATAAATTTGGAGCTCCATTGTGAGGATGTAAGAGAGGAGTGTGGCTGCTGTCTGTGGCAGAGGCCTATATTCTCAGCAGCCTGTGGAGAAGAAAAGAGGAGGGGTGAGGGGCACACACTGCCCCCTTTACTGGCCCCCTGCCGTACCCCCCTAACCCACCCACCCCCTTTCCAGCACCCCTGCCTGGTGATGAATGGTGGTACTTGCTGAAAGTGAAGCCTGCTGGTGAGCCTTGGCTCAGGCTAGGAGGCAGGGGGAGACTGCTTGGAAGATCACGGGGACAAACTCAGCAAAAGGCTGCCCTTCAATTGCCCAGAGACTCCCCCAAAGATGGCAGGCCTTCTCTTGGCACACAACCACAGGAACAGGCGTCAGAGAAAGGGCCTAAACCTGCACCCGAAGAGAGTTCATGCTCTCCATCATGAAGGGGCCCAGAGTCTAAATCAAGTCTACCAAGACATAAAATAAAGAATCTTGCAAGAAGCAGAAATATGATTGTGTGTAGTTAATTCAGTCCCCCAGTTGACAAAGACTGTATATTCTGTCTACTGAGACAACCTTGTTTTTACTATTGATCATGATCTCACCTCTATAAATTACAATTTGCGGTCACAAATGTCAGCCGAGACATTCGCCATAACCGCAAAAACAGGAAATACTAATTGCTCACTCAAAGAATTTATGCGCTATTTGCTGACTACATCACAAAAAAGGCTGCTCGGTTGATACTAGATTTATTTCAGGCACTGCACATAAAAATAATCCATGTCAACAACACTGTTTTCCTGCAATCTCTCTAATGAGTGGTGTCTCTGGCGCTCAGTAAACACTTCCTTCTCTCACTGCCACACACACTAAATAAGAAAGTAGACCCCTCTCTTTCTGAATCAGAGAAGGAGATGGAGAGAAAAGTAGGAGGAGAGATGGAGAGAGAGCCTGGGGGCTGGCCTCTGTCCCGGCTCCCCCAGCCTCTCTGGATCTCAGCCATCTGCCACAGCTGCTGCCTGGCTTTAACTGCCACTCTAATTGACAATGAACCCAGAGCCCTGTGATAATTGTGGCTGCTTGGTGACTTGGGCAGGTAATGCCTCCCTTTCAGGATTTATCAGGCCCCATCTGTTCCTCGTGGTGCTATATGTGGCAGAAAAGGCCCCCTGCCCGACCATCACCACTCACTACTACTACAACCACACACCCCCCTTCACACCCACTGCTCCATCCAACCCTCAATCTGCCCCCCCCCCTTCTCTTTTTCTTCATGTGCATTGTCATAGCCAACCAATATCCTGCTCCCTAACGGCTCCTCCGTCTCCTCCTCCAGTTGCTGAGCAAATATTGAGCTTCTTTTTGTGAAAGGATGCTTATTAGAGAGCGGCTCCCCAAGCCAGGGGCTGCAGCCACACCCACCAGAGGGCACCGCTCCGAGGCGAAGATTGTTTGTTCAATCATTAACTAAAAATAAAAGACTCCTTGCAGTTGCCTGAAACTCCCCCTTTTTCCCTGTGTTCTGTGGCATGCGATGAGTGTCGTGCATTGTGAGTGGAAAACAACTGGAGAGTGTGGGGGGGCATAACCACCCACCCTCTGCCAACACCAAACCACCCCTGCTCTGTTGATTAGATAGTACTCATCCTTTTTCCACACTGAGGGAACAATTGAGACCTCTGCAGCGTTAGCAGGTGTTGTGTCCAACAGTGTTTGATTATTGCAATGCTCAATCTTGATCAAGTCTGCTTACCAGCCGTCCCCCATGTTCTGGACTGTCACTGTCAACAACGTTGCACATTTAGCATGTCAGATGTTGTAACGCTGATAAATTGATAGATAATTCAGGTATCATTCTTTATGTAGATAATTGACAATTCCAATATGGGGCTTATGAGCGTGCTCAGTGCAAACAAAAGAGGGTAAAACTTCCAACCTAGCAAGTTTCTGTTTTTGTGATTTAGATGACTTGGAGATTTCAGATATACTTAAAAATCTGAATGTTTTTCTCAATCTGAATTATTGAAGAAGATATCGTCCCAAGTAGAGTATCGCCCAATGATGCAGACAGGAAACACACACCGCTACTGGCAGTGGATGCTGCACCAAATGCTTTTTTCTATTGCCAGATTAATGTCAGATACTGGCAGATAACTGGAAAATATGTCAGCTTTACTTTCCAGAAATGGACAGATCTTGGCCATGTGCTGCCTAATTGTGGGCAGTGTTTCTCCCATCTGTTAGGAGCAGATATCATTTTCAGACAGAGTGATCAGATATGGTTCAAATTTACTATCATCATGCTAAATGGAGGATTTGATATTTATTTATGGCACAATTTGGAGCCAGGTCCATGTTTATAGTTTAGGTACAATATGTACTACAGCAGCTCGTTTGGGTGAGGGCCACAGTGTGCTTCAGTGGTTTTTGATCACCATAAAGAATCAAGTCATAACTGTTTATGAA